GATCCTTTATCAGGCCCACCGTCTGCAGGTAGCCCTCCTGCTCCATAGCTGGCTTGTCCTTCCAGCCTGTTGGAATGTCTTTTGCAGAGCAGATGTTTTTATTTGACTTTTCAGTGCTGGAAACGGGACCAGGGCTTCTTGAGTGTTAGGCAGCAGTGCTCCTGAGAGTCCCAGCCCAGACCACAGGTTGGGAATTTGAATGAAGTCCAACCCGTTCACTTCTTTCTTCCATGGATTCCACCATGCTTGTTTTTCCTAAAAAATCACCCAAGTCCAAGTCATTTAGATTTCCTTCCATGCTACCTTCCAAGAGTCTCATTTAGGATCTGTTTACTTATTAATTGCAAAACAGTGTCCCACCTGTAGACTTGGCTGGCCTGGAACTTACTGTGTAGACCAGGCTGGCCTTGAATTCACAGAGATCCGCCTGCCTCTGCCTCCCAAGTGCTGGGATTAAAGGTGTGTGCCACCATGCCCACTATATTAGGCATTGCTAATCTTTATTTTCTAGTAGAACTGAATTGCTGTGTTAAAAATAAAATGCATCTTTACCATTTCAGCATGCAGTCTTGCCACTTACCAGACAGAACCCTAAGACACACTTAAGTCTGCAAATGAGAACATCCCAGGCTGAGCCCTGAGCTCCTTCTGCTTTCACCATGGCCCTTACAGCTGCCAGATATGGACCCTTTAGCTGCTGTCTTGCTGAGTTGGAGTTTGGGTTTCCTGACAGGAGGAGTTCTGTGTTAATGATGCTCTCTGTGCCACCACAAAGTGGTCAGACCTTGCAAAGGTTCAGGGAGCACTTAGATATTACCCGAGCATTTCCTGATTCATAAAATTACCCAGCTCTCTTGTCTTGTTTTGTTTGAGACAGGATCTTACACCGTAGACTGGAATTTCTTGTTGTGCATTGTGTAGTTCAGGCTGACCTTGAACTCACAGCCCTCCTGCCTGGGCCTCTGTGATTGCGGAGGGCCTGGCTTGAATCTGGCTGTCTCTGGAGAGATCTCAGCACCTGGAACTTGAAGATAGTGTTTGAAGTCTGAACTTGTGTCCTGTGACCTGCAACAGAACAACCATTCTCCCCATCTACTTTTGTGACTATGAACATTTCTTCTGGGTCTGTGTTCTTTGCTTTCTCAAACAAGGAATCCAGACCTTACTTTCTTAAGTAATTTAAAAAGACGGAGAATCAAGCCACAAGGCCTGGGGAGGGTGCGGGGTGGTTTATGCCCTGCTTTGCTGGATCTAATCCCTTCAAGAACAAGTGGAGGAGTTCATATTCTGTTAGTTAATGCTGTTTCATGAGCATCTTTATCAACCTTAATAAATGCCCGCAGGTGCACACAGCTGTAACGGGGAAGGAAGAACCCATTCAGCCTGTTACAGAGAAGAAAAAAAATGTCAAAGCATTCTGGGAATTTACTTCAGGTTGAGGTTGCTTCACCGTGCTCATTCATGCTGGAGATGTGTAGTTTCTAATTTCACACAGACATCTGGACCAAGGGATAGATGGCACGGAAGAAAGTAATTAAAGGAAGCGATGTGTTCCAGCTCTAGAGACACAAATCATTTTTTTTTCATCTCTTAAAAGAAAAAAGCTTAACTTTTGAAGATTTCATTTGTAAAATTGACTTTGTATTTTATAAGCAATGTTTAAATTCATTGGTGATAAATATGCGTGTTTGCGGAGTAAAATCCCATTTTTTACATAATGCTTTAATGGGAATGGCAGTTTTATGAAATGGAAGTGACTGGGAAAGATCTGAGTGAGGCTCATAAGCCTTCCCATCATTTTTATTGCGGTTTTTGTGCGCTCTAATTCATTAGTACGGGGGAAGGAGAACACTAACATGGTTTATCTCCTGTAATTACTCAAATCGAATTTATTTTCAATAAAATTCGTGGAGTAAATTGCCCAGAGTGGGGCGAGGAGGATTGGCCTGTTTTTACAAAATGCCTTGATTTTTACCCATGAGACTTTGCTGCCCTGCCAATGATGTCTGTGCTGCATCTATTTCCAGCATGGCTCCCTCTAGAGTTTTACAAATGAGTGCCCAGACCCAAGGCGGGCGCTCGGGGGGGAAACGCTACTTATTTCATCCCACTCTCTGTTACCAATATCGCTCATCTTTTAATAATTTAGATCATCTTTTATGTGATTCATGTAAATTGAAACAGCATTTAGATTGCCACATAAGGGGCGGGCCCGGAGAACTTGCCACGTTTGTGCTCAATGGAATCTGGCTCATGTGTCTGGAGTCCTACAAGAAGCTGGTGAAGTCTCCACCTGGGTTCCCGGCCCAGCTTTATGGGAACAGAAGGGGAAGTCACTAGGGGCTGGGGTGGGCATCTTCAGTGTTCTGCTCGCCTGTGAGGTATCTCTATGTCTGTTGTGTATCTGGTATGCCCATGTTTCCACACTGTAGAGGCAGATCTCCTCAGAAAGCTTTGCAGCCTGCTCCTTGGTAAGTTCCTGGGTTATGTTCAGATGATTCTCTACAGGGTCATCTTTGAATCCCAGATGTACCAAAAGATGACCTTCAGCTTCTGGTCCTCCTGCCTCTATCCTCCCAAACTTGCTGTTGGAAACAAGCCCTTTAGGGTGTGCGTGTGCGTGTGCGTGCGTGCGTGCGTGCGTGCGTGTGTGTGTGTGTGTGTGTGTGTGAGAGAGAGACTTTGTCCTCCAGGACCCCTGGCTGCCTGAACACCTGCGCTTGCAGAGTGGTGTTGGGTGTGTTTATGAAATACCCGCCTGGCCAGTTGTACCATGCAGGCTTGTAGGTCTTACCACTTTCTTTGGCCCTAGAAAACCAAAGCTGTTTTTAGCTCTCCTTTTTATAGACGGTGCTCACTTGCAGTGATCCCCACCTTAAGTAAAGGGGGATCAACCTTCCCATCTTCCCATGAGTCAGCCAGCATGCGGTGGAGGTGGGACAGGGTAGAATTCCCATAAGTCCCTGGATGTTCTCAGCACAAAGTGTCTCATTTCTCCCTGGAGGCCAAGAACTTGTTGCAAGGGTGGTGCCTTGTCAGTACCCAGCTCTTGCTCCCTGTGGCTGAAAACCCTCTGGGCACAGGTTAGCTGCTTCCCATATGTTCCCAGTCGGGGAGCTGGGTGGTTTTCTGTGGAATCACTTCCAAGTCCTTCAGGAAGTCCCCCTGTTGGCTTTCAGCCTGGTTGCTAGAGCTAGAGGAGGGCTTCCTGAAAGGCAAGGTAGGCAGATGGAGACATTGTCTTCAGGCCTTTTGATCTCTGAGGTGCTCCCCATAAATGAGAAGAGCTTTTAGGACAAGCGCTCCTCAGTGGGTGAGGCATTGAAAACATGCATCCCGCAGTCCCCCGAGCTGTGGAGAGCAGGGAAATGGAGCCACAGGGCCAGTGGGGTAGGGGCTGATGGACCAGCAGGCACTACAGCTGAGGGCTCCTATATGGAGGTGGCTCTAGGCTTCCAGCCCACAGTTACTGTGTGTTTGCGGGAGGCTGAAGTTGGATGAGTGACTGGTGACCATGTGTGAAGAAAGCAGCAGAGCCCAGTAGCCATGTCAGCGACAATGTGTTTTGCACAGTGAGGTTCAGCAGGTACCAATTGTCTGGGGCTCCTTACAGACAAGATTGTGCATTAGCAAATGTGAAAATTGTCTTATGCTCAGCGTGTCCCCTGATGTGCATATCTACCCCAGTTGGACAGACTGGTGCTGCACTATGCTTGATTTTGGACTCTAGCCTCTCCGCCTTAGTCCACCATTTGTGTTTAAGCTAAGCTTGTATTCAGTTGATCTTTCATACCCTGAGTACCTCAGAGGAAGCCAGCCTAAGGCACTTGCTTTTCTGGAGATAATCTGTGAGTAGTTTTCTTCTTGGTGTATGTGTCTCAAGACCTTTACTGTATCAAGGCAGAGTGTGGGGAATGGAGATGGACAAAGCATAACCCTGCCCTCAGCCGCTGAGGGTGCATTTCAGAGCACATCTCTGAGAGTCTGTTGGGGCCTCTGACATGTGACAGGTGAGCCAGTGGATATTCTTTGTAACCACGGAAACACATTCCCCTCCCCTGCTTCCTTATAAATGTGAGGGTGGAACTGAAAAGCCTGCCTATAGGAAACAAAGATGTGGCACTCACGGGAAACTGGGCAGACTGGATCTGGGACTGGGGTGTAGCTCAGAGACTGGGTACATGCGCAGGTCTGGGTTTGCTCCATAGCAACACACAGACGTGAACACACAGGCGCATGTGCCATGACAGGAGGTCCTGCCGCCTCTCTCTCGACCTGACCCCCTTGACCCCCTCATAAAGCCTGGTGGTGAGGTGTCCACTGATGAGCCAGTGAGAAGCAATAGTGCAGGCATGTCCTGTGTACATCGCTCCTAAGTCTAGACGGCTGCACGAGCTCCCACATGGTTGGTTAGTTACCTCAGGCACAGATGAAGCTTATTAACTTCTCTTTATACATCTTTCATTGTTTGGTTTGTTTTAAGAAGCGTGTTTTACTTTTTTAATTAAAAAATCTAATAAAGTAGGAAATGAACAGTAATAGTAATAAACAGTAACCCAGAGCCACAGAACGTCGTTCCAGGCTTCCCTGAAGCCTGATGCTTAGAGTTGCTAGCAGGCCTCTGAGTGAGGCCAGCTGTCCTTGCCGTCGAATTGTTAGGGGTTTTCCTCTCTACAGAGTCCTGCTTGCCAGAGGCCACCTGCCACTTGCCACCTGGTACACTCTGCTCTTAATAGTCGCTGGGGACCCATGCCTGGTCCTCTGTATAGTTTCTGCCAGATTCCATAGGGGTTTTGCAGAAGCGAATATTGAGCACAGGTAACTGTTGTTGTATTTGGACTGTCTGGTTCTAGATCCTGTCGTTCATACAGGTCTGCTGTCTTAGCTATGCTCTCTTCACAGCTCCTTCCGCACCATATCTGTTATCTCTGTCACCAAACTAGTCTGTCTCCTACACTTTCCTCACAGGACCCCAACCAGCTGTCTGTCTCTCCATATAGGTCCCTTCACTGATGTCGTTACCACCAACCTAAAGCTTGGCAACCCAACAGACCGAAATGTGTGTTTTAAAGTGAAGACCACAGCACCGCGCAGGTACTGCGTGCGGCCTAACAGTGGGGTCATTGATGCCGGGGCCTCTCTCAACGTGTCGGGTAAGTGCTGACTCTGGAGGTCATGGGTGGGTTCCAGAGGACCCCTGCCTAGAGCTTTGTCAGAGCAGGTATGTTCAGGACAGTGCAGACTCCTCCCCACCTCTCCCATCCCACCGTGGGTAAAAGCTTGGTTGGTACCACCCTCGACTCTCTATAATCCATGTCTCTTTGTTTTCGTGCTTGCACTGCCTATGCCTTAGTAGGGGAGCAAAGTTAAAGCGGTGGCTTTAAGCCTGACTTGAGAGTAGGCACCTCCATTCTTTTGGAGTAGAAAGGGACTAAACAAGCTTCATTTTACTTTGTGGGAGAATACAAGATAGAGTTATTTTCTTTATGCTAAAGGATTTCCGATAGTGCTCATGTCTAGTGATTGGAGGTGCCCTCTATTCACTGAAGCTGAGGAGGTGGGAATGTAGTCACGGTTGTGGGGCCCTGTGTGTTCTAATGCCCCCCCAACCCCTGACCCCCAATCAGGGTACATGTTTTCCAAAGCCCAACCTCTGGAAAGAGGCTGATGAGGTGCCCAGATTGAGAGCTGGTTTTCAGAATCGAGGCGTGAGTGATGTGTTAGAGTTTAAATGTGTTTAGAGAAGCGGTGGGTTTGCAGCTCATTAGAACTGGTGATGCTCAGAGGGGCTGTGGGGGAGGATGTGTCCTTTAGACACCATGACTCAGTGTCCCCCACTTCTCATTTGAAGTGAGCGCCTGTCTGGGTTTTTCCATGACGGACTTTGATTGTGCTGCATCTGGCTGTTCACCTGACACCTAAGAGAAAATGACTCACCTCTTTGGAAAGATACAAGGTGTTTCATTATCTTGGACTCTGATTCCTCGCCTCCGTAGGTGCCTCTCATCATAGAGCACCCACCCCCAGCTCCCCCGCATGCTCCTCTCTGAGTGTGCAAGGCCTGGTCTGGACTCCTGAGTCAGATCTTGGGTCAGGAGCAGTTAGCTGGCAGCCAGCGCTGGTCGAAGGGTTCCCCCTGCCAGAGCTCACACGCTGCCACCATTTGCACTGTGCAGAGTGCGGTGTCATGTCCGGTCCCTGTCTGTTTTTGAGTCATGAAGCGGGTGTGTGGAAGAGCCAGCGCTCTGTGACTGGTGTCCTAAGAGTAGGAACGGTCAGGGTGTGATTGCTGCTTCCTCCATGTGTCTTAAACTTTGGCTGGGATTAGCGCAGCTGGATCCTTCTGTCCTGTCCCTGTTTTGTGTGCTGCCAGAGGGCCTTGTGTGGCTGAGCTTGTCGAAACCCTGTTCCTTTCTTTAGCCCCATCCCCCAGCTTCCTTACCCATAACACAGCCTAGAAAATTTTGAGTTTATCAGCAGATGGAAATCACCAATTTTCATAGGAAAATAGCAGCCTGGTTTTCTGAGTGAAATAATCTCAGCAGATAGGTAGTGTAGGTGTGCCTGCTGATGTTACAGGTAATTGTGTGCGTGCACATGCATACGGATGTGTCTTTCACCAGGAGCAAGGCCTTCCTAGTCTCTGGAAGGTTGTGAGAGTCCTCAGGCTCCTCAGTGAGGGCTGCTTTTGTTGCTATGCCTTCCTCTGCAGATCAGAAAGTAAGGAACTGGCATGGATTCGATCCTTCCCTGTCACGTGACTGTCAGGCAGCGCTTGGGTTAGAGGCAGATGGTCTTTCTATAGCACTATGCTGCTGCCTCACCAGGTAGGGGGTGGCTGCCTGAGCATGAATCTGAGATTAGGGGGTGGGAGAGCAGGAGGGCTGCTTGACTAAGGAGACGTTTGCAGCTTTCCCGTGAGAGAGGGTGGCACATGGAAAGTTTCTGTGGAAATGCTCCTGTCTGTCCTTGGTGGTGGCCTGAGGGCCAGGAAAGCCATGTAGTCTGTGCAGCCTTAGGTTCTGGGTGTGCAAATGCCGCACTTTAGTCATGCATATCTTGGGTGGAGAAGCACTGTTCTTGTCCAGGCCTGGGTCTCGAGGAGTGCAGCCACTGGGGTGATAGCATGGTGCGTCAGAGCCCCTAGAGAAGGCAGGTTCACGGGCAGACTGCTGTCCCCAGTGTGCTCACACACATACTTGTTGCTTCACATGATCTGTCATTGTGCCTGTGACTGACATTTGCCAGCCTGGTCACCTCTGTACACTCTAGTGTTGTCCCTGTAAATGCAAAAACAGCCAGGCTTGAATGGAGACTGAATTGTATACTGTTTGCATTGCCTTAAAAAAAGCAAATGTGTGGCCCTCCTGAATTCCTATAAAACACACGTTTATGAGTGAATTTTCACCCACAATTGACAAGATGGTGACAGTCAAATGAACTTAAGCCTATCACCATGGTCCTGCCTAGCACCCAGAATGTCACAGGACACCTGGAAAGGACAGGGCTACTGTACTCTCCCTCCCTTTCTTAAGACCCTTGGAGGCTCTAGCTATTAGAGGAAACTATAAATCATCTCGTAAAGAGGGGGGAGGAGAGGGGGAGGAGAGGAGCAGAGAGATAGAGGGTTGGAGGGGGTGAGAGTGGTGATGATAGGCTGAGGCTTAAAAGGCTTTGTGTCCTGCATCTTGGCTGTGACAGGCATCCGCAGTGGTCCTCAGCCACACCCTTGATTGCCTTCCCAATGAACCTGAAGTTCAAGGGACCTTACATCATGCTTCAGAAGCTCAGGCTCTGACGGGCCGCATTGCTTCCTTCAGAACACAGTGAATCCATGTGCGTGAGGCTCCTTTCCTTAATCTAGGCAGCCCAGTCACAGTTGGGCAGAGGCATAGCCCAAGGTTCTATGCCAACCGAGTGTGACCTGTGGACATTCCTGGAGAGCTGCTCTGGGCCTTCCTTTGTCTTCACAGCTGTAGACCTTGGTAGTCTGCGTGCTGTAGTCCGCAGCACAGCTCGTGGTCACTCCCAGAGTGCCACAGATGAGACATGTGTCCTTGATGAACACTGACCTTGTGAGCTGGGCTTGCACCTTGGCAGCCCAGGCATGTGGAGATGAGCATTCTGGGTCGGGGGTGGTGGTGGTGGTGGTGGTGGTGGTGGTTGAGTTGTTCCCAGAGATTTCAGGCACAGGGAGGGTTGGACCTTTGCCTTCATCACTGGTGAGAAGCAGGTGGGAGTGGCCCATTCTAGCTTTATAGAATTATCTTTCAAACTGTATAGTAGAGAAATATTTTTGATGTGTGTAATTTCTGAAGATGTCTTTGTGGAAGGCTGTTAGCAGTGGCAGATCTTGATCTTGTTTTTAATGTTACAGTTTAGTAACAAGGGACTTTTCCATTAATATTCCAAACAGTGTTTGCCGGCATGCGCAGCAGGTGAGGTGGTAGAGTTATGGGCCCATCAGAAATACTGAGGCTCCCTGTAATCAGACATTAAGTTTAGTGTTTGTATAACCTCTGTGGATTCTAATCCCACAAAGTGGTGAGCGCTTTCATTTGTAGTTTGGTTACCCCCATTGCCTGCCCCTGTGCCAAGTGCATTACACGTGCAGAGCGTCCATGGGGGGTGTGGATAGAGTCATTACAGACGCCAGTCTTTAGGTACAGATTCTCTTTACTCAGTGTGCCCTGGGATTGAAGATGGATTAAAGCCAAACATAGGTCTCCCAGTATCTTGAGTCCGTATTTTAAACTGAAATCCAGAGCATAGAGGGGCAGCGTAGGTTTCTGACAGCCCCTTCAAGACTCCTTTTTAATTCCATTGAAACTGTAAAGTTCTTCCAGTAACAGAATGGATGTCAGCATCTCCTGGGATGGTGACATTGGTCTGTTCATATCATTGGGTAGCATTGGAACTGATTATTAATCTGTTTAAGATGGTGCTGGCTTGGGGGGATGCTACTGTTTACTGGCATTGAACTGGCCTGCTGTGGGCTGCAGCATGCAGGTGCTGAATCTCAGGGTCAAGGTGCTCCTAGCCTGCTGACAAAGAAGCCTGCTGTGCATCTCCCAGTGTGCACAGGAGAGGCTGCCATGGGGCTTTACCTTCCTTGGGCCCAGCCGTTGCTTGAGAAGGCTCTGATAAGTGTGACTTTTAACGAGAAGTCTTCACTACTCTGAGATAAGAACAGCCTACACTGCTGCTTAAGATAAATCCCTAATCTTTTCACCAGATTAGGTTATGGCCTAAAATATTTTACCAATAAAATTCAGCTTAATTGGGCTTAAAACTTTCGAAGGTTGCTGCAGGCTGCAGGGTTCTTAGGGAGACTATCCCCATCCTTTACGGATGTCACCGAAGGGCAGGACCCAGGGCCCTGGGCAGGGGATGCTCAGCTGGAGGGCACCCTTTTGCATTGCAGGGTGATTCAGGAGTGCAGTGGTAAATGCCTCCCCAGTCTGGTCCTTTCAGGTGATGCCCTTGGCTCCCCTAGGAGTCCCATCCTGCTCTTTCTAATCTCACCAAGCCACTCTGGTCTCTAGCTCATTGCAGAAGGCAGGGCGAAGGCTTGAGAGGCAGCCTTGGGAAAGGAGGTAGCAAGAGTACCTGGTAGACTGGTCGTGAGTGCTCAGAGAACAGGCCAGAAAGAAGATGCTGGGTATGGGAAGTCCCCTGGGTGTTTCAGATGGTCAGCCCTCAGAGGTTTGATGCACAGGTCTTACTGAAGAGACGATGGGGGTGGTGGGGTGTACAGTTACACTGGGAGGCCCAAAGAGAGGCTAGGCTGTATCCTCCTGTTCGTTACAGCACATGAAGGAAGCTGAGAAATGAGGACTGAGTGGCCCAAGCAGCCTGTAGCATACCTCCTTTCTGCTGGTCCTGCAGAAAGGGTAAAGTGTGCACTGTGGCCTCTGCACAGACAAGTGGAGCAGGCTGCCAGGTGCTTGCTACCTGAGCCGAGAAGCCCACAGGGGATGCAGTTAGATCGACAGTCCTCTAATAACCAGGAGAAATTAATTATTCACCTGCTAGACTTGGGCAGTAGAGGCCCAGGAAAGTAGTCACAGGTCAGCATTCTGAGAGCCCTGAAGGAGATGATGAATTTACTCATGGTGAGGGCTGAGGCCAGCGGCAGTGTCTGCTCCTGTATCTCAGGCTGGAGTCCCACCATTACAGCTTCGCCTGCCACCTTCAGCTGATAAGAATCTCATGTTTGCTTTGGTTTAAAGCAGAGCAGTGGTGCCATCATTTCAGAAATGCAGTGTGGTAGGTGGACCGTGGTCTTCTGACAAGCGGACTGTGCAAGGAGGGAGCAGGCAGCAAGAAGAGATGGGAGGAAGAGAGAGCAAAGAGGAGAGCCTGTTGGGTGAGGGCAGGAAAATCTCTTCCTTTGAACATTTCTATTTATTATTATTAATTACTACTGTTGTTGTTATTTTGGGTTTTTCAAGACAGAGCTTCTTTGTATATCCCTGGCTGTCCTGGAACTTGCTCTGTGGACCAGTTAGTTGGTCTTGAACTCAGTTGCCCTGCCGCCCAGTTACTGGGATGAAAGGCGTGTGCCACCACCACTGAGCTCCCTCTAAAGGGAGTGTGGTGTAGGGTGCTTGAAGTTAGGAGGGGAAGAGGGTTCACACCACCAGCCAGTGGGTGCTCATGAACATGTAAGTTCCACAGACACCCAGCCCTTGACTCACTTTGACTAGGAGAGGCAAATCGGCAAGACAGTGCACATGGGGGTTGTAGAAAGAAGCTTTGGTGAGTGAGCTTCCCTTGGCAGGGACAGGCGGGGCACTTTCCAGCCATGCCTGTGGCTTTCAGAGAAGAGTACAGCCCAGTTCTCCAGGAGCAGGTTCTCAGTGGGACCCCCGCCAGCAGATTCTATTTCATTGGCTCCTTTGCAATTCTGGTACATCCCAAAGTTGGCTGACCTTCCTTCAAAGGACATCTAGGATATGAGTGTGGTGAGGGGCACCACAGAAATGAGGGTAGGTTTTGGGAGTGGTGGAGAGTGTCCCAAGGTGCAGGACACGGAGCTCGATGCATGCTTGCCGATCCAAAACCAGGTCTACTGGCCGAGGAGGGAGGAACTGGTGAGCTGACTATCTTCTACTTGGGCAGCAGCAGCTGTTATAGATAGCTGTGATCCGAGTGCTGGGGGCGGGGGTGCGGCGAGCCTTCCTGGGTCTAGAAGGGACTAGTGCACAGGCTAATCTAGTGGGAAAGAAACAGGGAGAAAGTTGGCTGGGAGGAAGAGAGTGAGTGGGTGAGTGAGTGGGTGAGTGAGTGAGTGAGTGAGTGAGTGAGTGAGTGAGTGAGTGAGTGCCAGAGCTGGCTGTGTCTTGTTGACCGTGGAGACATTTCTAGTTGAGAACTGACTCTGGGCAGTGTTGCTGTCTAGACTCCACATCTGCCCCCCCCCCCCACTGTGGTGCAGATGAAAATGGTCTGTGGTTGTCCAGTGCCCTGGAAGCAGCTTTCATACTGTATTTAGTTGGGTTGTCATTTTCCAAGCCAGTGTGTGTTTTCAGCTGCCTGTTTCCTTCTTTTGAAGGAAGTCTGGCCTGATCGATTGGTGCCTCGTGACCCTGAAGGTTCTTCACAAGGGCCCCACTTTCGTGTCTAATGCAGCAGGCTCCGTGTCAGGAGCTGGGTGTGGGTGAGGGGGTGACTGAGCCTAGGTTGTCTCCTGGTAACCGGCTTCTTTAATGTTCTGTCAGCAGATGCGTTCTGAAAGGAGGGACGGTTCATGCAGGGTTTTATCATCAGTGTCTCTGGTATTTAAATGAAATAAATTAAGTTAATGGGAAGCTCTTTTATAGCCTGTCATGGAAAAAGTACATAATTTGTGCCACAATTTGCAATGAACTAGCACTGACCAACATTTATTCCGTCATGTTCTCATAAAGTTTCAGCTGAAACTGGATTTGACATGTGAGACAGTGGTGGCAGCTGAGGGACAGGAACTCGTCGGTGTACATGAGGGGCTGTGTGAAGCATGTGTACCAAGGGTGTGCAGACTCAGCCATTGGGAGGCAGACAGCTGCTTCTCTACTGGAGGGGCAGATCCCCACATGGTGCCTGGAGCTGCCCAGACAACCCCCTTCTAGAGGCCCTGGTGCCCATTCCTGCCCGAGGTTCTCTGGTTAGCCCTGCCAGGGCCCTGAAGTACATGTGTGCTGACACACAGGTGTGATTGACCACCACTAGCCCCTGCCCTGTGTGTCCTGCCCATCAGCTGGCTCTTTCAGGTCTCTGCTACAGGGGCTGAGCTGGTAGGGTGCCATAGGCCAGGAGTGGGGCCTGTGCTGTCTGTAGGCAAAGCTGCAGTGGGCCTTGAAGTGTGTGCTTGCTCAGAGGAAAAAGGGACTTGGGACCCTCCTTCTGCAGTGGGATGCTCAGCCCAGCTCTTTTCTCTTTACACTGTCTCAAGGATCCGCCACCTCCGGACGGGGCCAGGAAGGCAATGCGTGTGGCGGCTGTACTCCTCCTATATGTGGTCTCTGCACTTGCTGTGCTCCTGACAGTTGAGGGTGGGTCTTTGTGAGCTGTCGTGATATTTATTACAGTAGAAATTTTAAAATGACTAATTTCTTTAAAAATTACGATCCATCAATTACGTGTTTGTGGTAATATTTTTTTATGAAAGTAGCTATTCTCCAGAAATTAGAAGGCTGGGATTGCTGACAGCTCCCGCAGATCTGACATCTTAATAGACTAAACCCTCATGTCTGCTTCACTCAGTGGGCTGCAGCGCACTGGTGGTGGCTGTGTCAGCCAGACAGGAAGTTAATAGAGTCTTTAGATAGCTCTGCGGCAGACAAGTAGAGTTTCCTTTGTTTCGTTTCATTTTCTCCAGTGCTAGGGTTGACCCGGGCTTTGCACAGGCTCTGTAGACCAGGCTAGCCTCAAATTGAGATCCACCTGCCTCCGCCTCCAGAGTACTAGGATTAAAGGTGTGGGCCCCCATCTATAGGCAGATTTGGGAGGAACCATAGTGTGGTACTGTGACCCTAGAGTCAGAGCCAGGCTGGAGCCCTGGCTTCATTGTGAAACATGCCACCCATAGCCTTTGACTTCCCATCTAGAAGGTGGATGCCTCTCGGGGACAGACTGGGAGGGCAAGGACTGTGAAGGAGACCCCATTGGGTTTGAATATGTGTGCCTTTGTGACGTGAGGCAGGCTAGCTGCTGTTTCTAGTTTTCTCATCTGAAAACAGACAACTGAATAATACCCCCTCACCAGCAGTCCTTACCTCTTACAGATTGAGGCAAGGACAGAGCTGAAGAGCGAAGCCCAGTTTCTGGCCCGTGGAGCTACGAGGCCCGCGTTGACTCTCTGAGGAAGGTCACCCAGCGTGAGGGTTATTAAAGCTGTGCAGCAAAGAGGGCATTGCAAAGCAACCCTCGGGTCGCAGGGTTTGGCCTGGGTCATCTGGGAATAGGTTCAAGGAAGCGAATCAGAGTGGAAGGCCTAAGGGTCCCCGGGTTCCGGGTGGGGGCTGGAGCAGGAGGTGGAATTGTTTTTTTTCCTGCTGTGGGAAATCCAGCTTATAAGCTGTCTCCAGAATTCTATTGGCAAAATCATATTTCAGGCCTTACCTTGATGAGCTGCGTGGGAAATGGAGTGGAGAGAAGCGAAAACTGTCCTGAAACATCTTGAGTTATTCTGTTTTCCTTCTGGAAAGGATCATTTGGCAACGTTTTCCTGAGAAAAATAGGCCTTTGGTGTTTCTCCCATTTTATGTCCTCAGTCAGGGCTGTGACACAGGTTGGGGTGGCTTTGTGGGAGTGCATGACTAGGGTCATCAGGATGTAGGCACCCAAGTCCTTAGCACAGCCCCTGAGTTGAGCTAGCACCCACTGTCAGGCCGTGGCAACCTCAGCCTTTCTGGTCTTAGCTGCTGACCTGCAGAGTCAGGGGAAGACGTCCAACAGTCCGTGCTGGCTCATGTCCCTCAGGGTCCAGATGGGAGAACTGGGGAGTCTTTATTACACAGCGTGTTAGCGTGACAGACAACTGACACCCACACTCTGACCCTCCTAATGAAATATTTTCTTCCTCAGTGATGCTGCAGCCTTTTGATTATGACCCCAATGAGAAAAGTAAACACAAGTTTATGGTTCAGTCTATGTTTGCTCCACCTGATACTTCTGATATGGAGGCAGTAGTAAGTACGCACGCTTTGTCTTCTTCTTCTCTCCAGTCCACTGGGCAGGCGTGGCGGGTGCAAGCCTTTCCACTGTTGACAGGAGCATGCTGTCAGGGAGGTGTGCACTCTGATCCCTGTACTGCTTTCCTAACTTTAACATCTGTGTGGCTGTTCTTTTCTGACTCGATGAACTGCCCTTGCTGCAGTCCTCTGCTCTTGTGGGCCCTTCCTCCCTCTCCCCTGCATTACAGGGGAGTGCTTCCCGCTGTCAGGGTGTTTCTGACCTGTGTCCTGCCCCTCAAACCCAGGATGTGCTTGTGTTGAATACTAAATGCCCCCTCCTTCCTGATGACACTCCCCTGGTTGCTTTTCTCTTTTGCTTGGTTCTGGTTGGCACAGTTCCTCGGGTTCTGAGGATGGAACTCTGGTCTTGCTCACACTAAGCAAGTGCTCTGTCTCTGAGCTCCACCCACAGCCCGCTTCACGCCCTACAGCCCTCTTCACACTCTTACCCGCTTCACACCCACAGCCCTCTTCACACCCACAGCCCTCTTCACACTCTTACCCTGTTTCACACCCACAGCCCGCTTCACACCCTACAGCCCTCTTTACACCCACAGTCTGCTTCACACCCTACAGCCCTCTTCACACCCACAGTCCGCTTCACGCCATGCTCTCTAATTGCCTTCATTTCCATTCCCCCTTCCCCTATATGAGTACATGTTTGACAGTGTCTCGAATTTTGGTAAAATTAAGATGCCCCTGTTTTTATAAGTAAACAATATTTTTTTCTTCTGGAAGAAGAGTGGCAATTCTCCCCAAAGGTAGTGCTGCCAGTTGCAGCTCTGCCCAGCGGGCAGTGGTCCTCAGAATGTGGCCAGCCCGTAGATGGCAAAGGTATCAGGGATGTTCTGTGCCAAGCTTGTCTCCTGCCCTTGTCACCATGTAGCCTTTGTTTTGGGCTTCGGAGAGCAGAACCAGCTTCCTTCATTGGTGCCTGCACCTTGGGGGCAGAAAGAGAAGGTTAAGTCACGTATTGAGCTGGAGCAAGACCTTGTCATAAGACTAACCCTGGAGACATTTCTTTGCCCTTTCATTTCCCGACTTGTGTTGTGTTAGTCTGTGTGATGAAGGGAACACATGACAGGCACTGAAGGTAGACGTCTACAGGCTGTGCCTTTGGTCTGGCTTCCGCGGTGGTGTAGCTGAGAGGGCAAGGACGTGGCTGTCCTGATCTGAAGCAAACCTTTACTAAGGCTTTGGTCTGCCTTGGGCAGGTTGTGTTGATTGTTCTTGAGGTTTTAGCAACCTGCGAATTGGGAATAAGAATGCAGTCCATAGAGTTTTGAGGAGAGTGTGCCCATGTCTGACTCTTCACCTGAGTAATTAGGGGCCAGATGCTGCAGCTTGATAAAGGGGCCTTCTGTTTCTCAGCAGGTTGTTTTTGTAACTGTTTTAAGTGTTTGCACAGCACATTTTGTAGGGCACTGTCCATGACCACCTGAGTAAAAGCTGATTTGGATGGAGGTGACTGCCAGTTCTCCCACACCAGGTCCAACTACTGGGAGAGCCTGTGTTGCCCTTGAGCTGACAGTGTGCAGGAAGCTGAGAGCAGTGCCTTGTTACCTTGGCCTCGATGTCTTGTGTGGGCATTTGCTACTAAGCTGTCAGAGACTTTCCTGTGCTAGCTGCCTGTAGGAGGAAGGTCACTGACTGGCTACCCTGAGCCCGGCAGAGCACAGGCATTCTTCACTGACATAGAACTAACTGTGTGCAGTTGACAGTGAGCTGGGGTTGTCAATACCCTAAAGAGGGCAATCCCATGCAGTGCTCTGAGCACTCCAGAGTGCCCGTTGGGTATTTCAGCAGAGGAGTTTCTTCCGCACCTTGGGTTTGATGGCTTTAGGGTCCAGGTCATGTGGCTTGGAGCATGAATCTTACCTCTTGGATCGTCATCATTAAATTCAGATTCAGATACGGGGGTACAAGAGTCACCCATACTCAGGTGATGTTACTGCTTGCTAGCTAGTCTTGTTCTTGGTGCAGTTTGATGAGCTGGTGCAGGTGCTGCGGAAGTCTGTCTGCCCTGTGGCTTGTAGGCAGTTCTCAGAGACTGTTGTCACCAGCCACTAAGAACCTGGAACTGGTCCTTGCATGACCCCCTCTGACTCACACATGGGCACACATGCACAGTGTGGCATTGGCGTGTTCCTGTGTAGCTCAGTGCTCTCAGGTGTCCCGTGAGTGTTAGTGTGCCATCCTGTTGACTGCTTCTGCCATGGTTAGGGTGGCAGTGCTGTGGTGCCAGAGAAATCGATTGCCCTAGCTGCTATGCAGGGTCGGAAGGGTGAGGGTGGGTGCCTCCCTTTTCTCAGTTGTCACCTTGCTGCTTTGCTGACCTGTCATTCTCAACCCCTTCCCCGTGTCTAGAAGGGGATATTAGTGAGGAACCTAGCCCTCACTGGTGGGTGGGGGTGGCGTGGGCAGGGCCATTCTGATGCAGTAGTGGAATGGCTCTGTGGTGAATGGGCCCCACTGGTGGTTGACTGGTCAGCCAAATCCTCCTCCTCCAGCTCTTTAGGGAGTGGGTACCCTGTCCTTTAGATTCCAGTTCCTTAAGGAGAGAATGCTTCCTGGACCTGTGCTGCCCATGAAGTAGAAACAGGCAAGCTTGGGCAGGCGGCCCTAAGGAGCCAGGCAGCAAGACTGCAGGGTTTGCAAAGTGTGATAAATATTCAGGAGAGCGAGTGCATTTAATCTTGTCATGTTAAAAATATTGAAGTCTCAGCAGACTTAAGTTCTTTATTTGATATACATCAGGGCTTTCTCATTAAGAGTATTTTTCTGAAATTGTCAGTTATAGGAGGAGAATTATTCTTCCAGCAGCTTGATAATACCCTGATTATTAAATTTAAATTGTTTTAGTGGAAGGAGGCAAAGCCGGAAGACCTTATGGATTCAAAACTTAGATGTGTGTTTGAATTACCAGCAGAAAACGCTAAACCAGTAAGTATGTCTCCAGTTAACAGTAATCGAACGTTGCAGGCAGACACTCATTTGCATGCCATCTCCTGTGAAACAAAGATTTAAACTGGCAAATTATTTTCCTCCCTCTAATGTATGAAGGAAAAAAATCAGCTGAAGTCAACAGATAAGCTGGTATTATAACATCAACCTTGGCAAAGACTTGCAGAAAATGGCCAACTGAAATAGTTTCCCCTTGAGCAGAGTAACCTGTTAGCAGCTGCAGTCAGAATCCCAGGGAGTCTTTGCTTGGTGAAGTGGGGAGACCAGAATGGGGTGATTGGCCCTTTTTCAGGGCGCTCAGACAGGTGGTAAACTCTCAGAGCATCCTGTCAGTATTCCCCTCAGCATCTGCTCCCCACCAACTCCCTCAGTGCCGGTCCTCCTTGAGATGAGAGTCTCTTGGCCTCACTGTTGTTGGCATGTGTTTACATCCTGTGCCGTGTGGGATATTGAGCACCGAGCACCCACTGTCCCAGACCCTGCTCCCTAGACACTAGCAGTACCCCCAGATTTTCATGGAGGTTGTTACACATCTACTGCCCCAATCTGGGCCCTCACTGGGGACCAGCAGAAGACAGGAGATGGTTTTTCAAATACTGATGTACACTTCCCTTCAAAGTAGCCGGAAAAGGTAAAATTGTGTCAAGAAGTAAGAACCGTGGGTGATCTTTAGGTCTCTGCCAGTGATGGACGGAGCTGGGAAGGCAAGGCACGCTACAGTGTCTTTACACATGACTGTGAGGAGCCCAAGAATGCTGTTGGTTGCTGTCAGAACTGCCTGGTTTCTTCTGCTCTATCATCAGCTACAGCCATCTCTGGTTATTTGAATCAGAGAGAACATCACCCTGTTGTAGGAAAGTTAGAAGCAGGGAACATGGATCATGACCCCCAGCCCCCTGATAATTGGGCTCCAGCCTGGACTCTGGCCTCCAAGGCTCTCCCTTCTGTGGGAGGTGAAGGGGGCTGGAACTAGGTGTCTGATTTTCAGATTGCCACCCAGAGCCTCAGGCCACCATTCTGAGTGCTCCTAGCCCTGCTTCCACTGACTGGCTCATCCTCCAAGAGGGTACCATGACTCCTTTTATGCAGGGGAACACATTTGGCCTTCAAAGCTTGTTCGTCCTCATCCCTGCTTGTAAGGTGGTCCATGTGTAGTCCTCTCTAGGCCTCCTACCTCCCACCCCCAGCGGCCTGGGATGCTCAGCTCTCCTGCAAAGGTAATTTGCAGCTGATAATTCCTGAGCTTGCACAATTGCAGTATGTTAATTTTTGCATGGCAGGAATTTGATAGTGCAGTGTGCACAGCCCTTTTCTCCTCCTTGAAGTATTCGCCTCAGCCCAGCTTCATTATTTGCCCTTATCCATAGTTTCTAGGGCCTGGTAGCTTTAGATTATCAAGATACTAGATAAAGTGATGCATTTAAAAAATAAATGTGACATTTTACAGTGTGGATGGAATGCTACCTCATGTACTGTGTACTGAGAAATACTTTGCATAAAATCCTTGCTCACATAGTTGGTGACCCTGGGCTTTCCTTTGTTTCTGAGCAGCACGATGTAGAAATAAATAAAATCACACCTACAAGTGCACCCAAGACAGAAGCACCGGCAGCTGCCAAGTCCCTGACGTCGTCCCTCGATGACGCCGAAGTGAAGAAAGTGATGGAAGAGTGCAAGCGGTTGCAGGGGGAGGTGCAGAGGCTGCGGGAGGAAGGCCGGCAGCTCAAGGTAACGCCTGCTCGCCCGCCCGCTCGCCCTTGCTGAGCAGCTTCTGTGGGCAGTGTGGGTTTGGTGTGCTGTTTTGCATTTACTTCCCCAGGAGACTCACCTGCAGAGCTTTCTTTTGGGGCTCCTGAAAGGGTGTTTGGATTGTACCTGCCCAACTGTTGTTTTCCTCAGAGCCAGACCCATCCCCACTCCATTTGTCTAAGTTGAGCCAGCTCTTTGAATATTCACTGTCAGACCCCGCTTTGGCCAATCCCTTGGGTGGTCTTGGTTGGGGGCCAAATCATACTATATATTTTTTTAAGATTTTATTTATTTATTATGTATACAACATTCTGCTTCCATGTATATCTGCACACCAGAAGAGGACACCAGATCTCATAAGGGATGGTTGTGAGCCACCATGTGGTTGCTGGGAATTGAACTCAGGACCTCGGGAATAACAGTCAGTAATCTTAACCTCTGAGCCATCTCTCCAGCCCCCATGCCCATACTATTTTAACACAGGGAAATGAGTTTTGAAACCTCTGATGTGGGTCCGGGCAGTAGAAGCTCCTCAGGCTGCTTGGTAACAAGAAAGCACGGTGTTGGCCCAGTAGAGAGGTGGAGGTGAGAAGGGGGAACCAAGGCATGCATCTGGCCAGGCTGTGCTGGGGAGGTCAGACACCCTCAGCCTAACAACCTATGTTGCCGGCTATACAGTTTGCATACAGTCTTGTCCACTCTAGGCCCATTTCTTAGGCCTGTTTGTTGAGTGTCTCTCCGGTTGCCTTCTAGCTTGAGAACTGTGGATCTGTCTGTCTTGGATGTGGATATATACCCGGGCATCTGATTATAGGAGCTTTTGTTGCAGCTTAAATTTTGAGGCCTATTTGTTCTTAATCTTGATGATGCCAGCCAAGCATGTAATAGGTTTCCCCTCTTTGCCTGCTGTGGCAGCAGATGTACACAGCACACTCGCTTAAGCCAACTCCCCTGCACCCCAGCTCTAAGGTAGATGTAGGAGGGTGACAGTTTGGAAGTGGCCTCAGCGTCTTCGTTTGCAAAAGCTTCTCTTTGAGTGCGTCTCTCCTCAGAAATAGAGCTCTGCACCATTTACAATGATCTATAGGTCGGGATAGCTTCTATGTAAACCCAATAAAATAAATGCTGTATTTTGCTGTGCCCATTTTTTTAAAGTTAATTGAACACTGCAGCTCGTTCATCACCGTGCTGCGGTGCTGGCCTTGCCCATGAGCAGAATATCTCTAAAATAATATCAGAGCCATCTTGACAGGGGGGCATGCTTTATCCTGCCAGACATTGGCTTCTTGTTCAGTGAGATCTGCCGTGTGCCAGGCGTCTCGGGCTCAGCTATGAGCAGGCTACCCTGGGGAGCTTCCTGTTAGTGGGGCTGAGGGAGAGACGAGACAATGATGGTTACAGCCCATGTCCTTAGTGGGCCCACAGAGAGCTGCAGATCATGGGAAGACTGCACTTGGCACTTGGCAGATAAGGAAGTGGAGGGGAAGGGTGGAGTGTCAGCTGTGTGGGAGGCCTCAGCATGGAGCGGCCTGGCCTGGCCCTGCGGAGCTGTGGCGCTCGGGAAGGGCACTGGAGGATCCTGCAGGTCCTTCAGGCAGGGACGGTGGAAGACAGATACCTCGGACCTGTCTTAGGGGTTTGGTGGGGGTGGCCTGGCAGCTCTCTTTGGAAATGAGAAGCCATGAACTCGTCGTAAGGTATATATAGTGGGCAAACGAAGGTTTTCTCTTTACCAGCTGTGGCAGCAGTTGCACACAGTATGTGTTTCCAATTCCAAGGGTTATTTGATTCGGTAGTGCACCTGGATCTCTTGCCAGGCTCATGCAGGTCCTCCACTGAATAGTTGGTTGTGGTTTGTGTCTTGGGAATACCTGGGATTTCAGGCAGAGATGAGTTGACTGGACATACTTGTAGGCTCAGGACAGGCCAGACGTCAGATCTGGAGGTAGGCAGAGAAGAGGTCAAGACATGGCCAAAGAGCCTCTTCTCCTCCCCCCTCAAGAGCTTTTCCCATTGTTCATGGGAAGCTGAGAGTGCATTTCAAGTTGGTGGTAGCAGAGAGCCAGCAGCTCTGGTAGAAGGAACACTGAGTCCAGGAGGGTCCTGGCAGTGGCTTCTCTCTAGGCTTCCATGTGCCTTTGCATTGTGGCTGGATCACGTCTGCCAAGCCATGATGTGCTTTTGAAATGTGCACTTATTCCCCCTAGGAAGAAGACGGGCTCCGGGTGAGGAAGGCGCTGCAGAGCAACAGCCCCATGGCAGCTCTGGCTGCCACCGGGAAGGAGGAAGGCCTCAGCGCCCGGCTGCTGGCTCTGGTGGTTTTGTTCTTTATCGTTGGTGTCATTATAGGGAAGATTGCTTTGTAGAGGCTGCATGCGAAGGATGGCAGATTGGATTGATGGATCCACATCATCATGGGATTTACATTTATCATAACCATGCGTAAAAAGAAATTAATGTATGATGACATCTCACAGGTCTTGCCTTTAAATACCCCTCCCCATGCACACACAAATGCACACACCAATATAGCATAATATAATGATCTTTTAGAATGTTAAAAATGTATAGTAAATGGATGGGGGAGAATGGTCTGTTACTGAGGGACATCGTGATTAACCACAGTGGCATATTGCAGCTGTCACATTAAACTCGGGTAGGCCTTGGCACATGTTCCTAGATCACCCCTCTTAAAGCAAGAAGCTCTCCCTCACATGTTGGGGCTGGCCTGTGGGAGCAGGAGCCCTGCAAGGGAGGGTGTGCTGTCCCCTCCACAGCCTTCTCATGCTGCCTAGTCTCTCCCAGGCAGCTTCCCCAGGCCTGCTGTTCTGTCCAAGCCATCGGCTCCTCAGGCATGCAGAGCTACAGAAGCCAAAACACATTGCATGGTGGCCACTTCTTGTGTCCCTGTAGGTCATGAGTGAGAGACATGAGTGGACCGACCGACCCAACACTTAGAAATCAAGTCTGTGCTCTGTTCTCTTAAAGGGACCAAGCTAAATTACTGTTGGTTCATGTAGTGACACTGAGCTGTTACAGAGACGCATAATGCATATTTAACTTATTTAATGTATTTCATCTCATGTGTCCCTACTGTCACCAGGGCGTAGGCAGTGCTATGGCTTGTATGTCACCTGTGTTGCAGAGTACCGACAGGGGATTGTGCTGCTGTGGCTTCGTGCCTCTGGAGGTCCAAGGGATGGGGAGAGTCTGAGTCAGGAGACAGCTGCCAGGAAGTGTTTTGTTGTAGGTCAGTAACAGCTGTCCTGAGGAGGGACAGTCTTTGTAGTGACAGTCAGCTCTGGTTACCCAGTCTTCTAGATAGTTCTCCCCTCACTCTCTGCTACTACTCGTCCTTCTAGAACATAGGCCACGTCTGTCCTGCCCTTCTCAGGACGAATGACTCAGGCTGCAGGAGGGTGAGGGGCACGGAGGTGAGGGGGGGAGAGCCTCCACACATCCGGGTAATGAAGAGTCTTGACTGGGAAGTAATTTCATGCCGTAAAAGACCAATCCAGTTCTGCTCGACTATGTAGCATCTTAAAAGAAGAAATTAAAATAAAGCCCCAAATTAAGAGTTCTTTTGTCACTTTGTCACATTTGCTGTGTGTGGGATTATTACTATTAATCATCGTTAGTGTGCTATGGAAGGTTGGTTTTAAAATGAGCTCTATCAGTCGGAAACACATGTTTAATGATTTGACTGTACACACATCTGTGTACACACATATACACACATATATTACTATCACTTTTATTATTATAGTTTTGGTTGGCTCCAGTTAACAGTGCAGAAAATAAAACTGCTGCTATCTCAGGCCCGCTGTCCTTCCCCCCCCCCCCCCCCCCGTGACCTTGGCCCTTCAGTGACAGGCCTGGGTCTGACAGGACAAGCCCATCTAAAGGAAGCCTGGCCTGGGCACCTCGAGCCACGCTGATGCTGTGCCTGACTGGCCAGCTGGAGCCCCAAGCCACTGAGATGGAGTCTGAGTGGCCTGAGTAGCTTCCTATCTCTTGAGTGGCCCCAGGTGTTCTCAGGAAATGCCCAGAAGCCCTGGTCTTGCCATTCATCAGTGAGTCTCTGGGATCCTTTTCCTGTAACCGAGGAAGGGCGGTCAGACTGAGCTGAGCAGTCTGACCTGCCACCTGGCCTTCCATGGTGGACTGAGGCTTTGAGAGCAGAGTAACTCCAAAAGGACCTGAGGGGTCATCCAGATCCATGACACCAGAGCCATGGTCTTAAGGGATGGCTGTGTGTGCTAGAAAAAATTTTTCAGAGGCACAGCCAGATGTCGAGATTAAAGCATGTCCGGGAGCTGCCACTGCGTGGGCCGTGGAAGGTGATTGTTTGTGTGCTGTGAGAATGCTTTAGCTGGCCAGCAGTTACAGACACTTTTGCTGTAGTAGCAACAAGTCTCAAGATACACAGATGTCCCTCCTTTGTATTCCCCCTGGAAGCCCTTCTTTGGAGAGATGAGGACTGACTGGGTATGGAAAGCGTAGGGAGGTTAGCAAGGCACATCGTGAAATTATCCAAGTCACCCAGTAAAGACTGCACTGGAAGAGAGGTGTTTGATGGAAGAGTACTTGTATTTGGGGCCCTGAAGAGAGGTGTGCACATTTGGGGTGTCTTTTCTCAAATTTTCAGAGGAAAAAAAAAAAAAGAAAGAAACGAGTAAGGCAAAATGGAGATGAGTGGCTCTCTCTGTCCCAGGAGTCTACAGTCTCCAGAGATGGCAGAGTCAGATGTTCTGGAAGGTGTAAAGCTGAGACCCGGTAGGATGGCAGCCGTGCAGCAAGTCCTCTGTGGTTCCTGGGCATACTGCCCCTCCTCGTTGGGTGTCCTGGCTTTGGAAGCACCACCACAGTGCTCACAGTGCTCACAGATGGACACAGTAGCAGAGCCCTGTCAATTGCTATTGATTGAATTTCTAAGTTGATAATTTAAGCTTGCAATGATACAGAGCAGCTCTTAAAGACAGCATGCACTATTATCTGTTGGTGTGAGACCCTGGCTTTAATTTTTTTCTTCTCCTAGTTTGCATGTTTTCCCTCTCTGGTCTTTTAAGCTGCTGGCACCAGCAGTAATAAATACTGATAAAATCAAAATTGATTTTTACCAGTGGACAGTTTATGCCTAGAGAGACGGCTTATACCTACATAACACAGAAAGGGGAATGAAGAACCTCCAGTGAGCCGTGAAAACCTAACTGCTTTCAGACAAATCCTAGGAACAGCATTGCTCTGTGAAGATAGCAGTGCCCAGCCTGCAGGCTGTGTTGAGTCAGACAGAACTGAACTGAATGCAATGAAAGCTCAGAGCTACATAGCTCTTCAGATTAATTTGAAAACAAGCCTCGTGCGCGCGCGCGTGTGCGTGTGCGTGTGTGTGTGCGTGTGCGTGTGTGTGTGTGTGTGTGTGTGTAGCATATGCACCATGGGTAGCAGCTTGACAATTCCCAAATGGTGCCTGTGCTTTTGGTTTTTTGCACACAAATCTTGGTGTTTTCAAACTCACATTCCATGCCAAAATGCAGTGCCATTTGTCATTTTCAGTTCCTCAAAATAACTGGCCCAGGTGCAGATTTCTGGTTATGGTTTGCAAAACCCTTATTGTAAGGGAGAGACAGGGACACAGAGAGAGGTGGTTCTGTGACTTAGGTCATCCTGTATTATAGAGTGACCTTCTGCTTCCCAGACCTTCTCCAGTATAGAGATAGAGGTCAGTGGTCCTTTGCTTGCCCTGGTAGCCCTGTCTCCTTTGGAGCCTGTCTCCTGTGACAGAGGGGATGAGTAGAACTCTGCAAGTAACCGGAAGGCACCAAACTCATCCTAATTACACTTGGCCATGTTTGCTGTTACTGAGAATGAATGCTTTTCAAAGCCAAGCAGAAATGCAATTGTGTTTAAAAGTCCCCTGCAGAGCACAGATGGATGGGTGCCGTTTGCAGCCAGGCCCTGCCATCACTCTCTGGGAACGCAAAGGGCAGCGCCCTTTGAGATCATGGCCCACCGGCTCCCTCAGGGTTCCCTGGCCTGATTGGATGTGAAGACCTTTTCCCTCCCAAGACAGAGCCACTGTGATAGGAACTGTTGTCAGTGCCATCCTGGCTGCAGAGCACCCCCACAAGACCGTACGCAGGGGCACGAAAGCTCCAGTACATTAAGCTGGGCAGCCTTTTCCTTTTGAGCTGAATGAACCCAAGCTTGCTTGCGCATGCTAAGGCACAGCTTGCTCAAGAAATGGGATTAATGGCGGAGCAAGGTGGAGGGAGGTATTTGCTGCCGGCGCCTCAGCTCACCAGCGGTGTCTTGTCTGCCACCCTGACCCAGCCGGTGTTTCCAGGCTGAGCAGGGAGAGCCAGGGCTCCGGCATGGCCTGAACACATTCCCACATGATGAATACATGTGGCTGTTTCCATTCTTCTCACTGCCCATGTGCCTGGGGGAATGAACTGGGCGCTTTAGAAAGAAAATTACCACTGTGTCTCGGTGAGGTAGGGTTGCTTTATCTGGAGGCTCCTTAACACCTTGTAAATTAAATGTGAATGAGAGAAGTTCATTAAAACTGGCATTATAGAAGTGGCCTATTGAGGCTTGAAAGCAGCTGAGCTAGTGTCTGGGTTCTCTCTGAACCTATGGAGAAACACACGAGCAAGTGACAGACGACCCGACCGGCACAGGGCATGGGAGCCATGAGTGCTTTGCTGCCCGGCTCCCAGCCCTCCGATGGTCACTGCACCTGAGGATCAGCCACTAAGAATATTTACTGTTTGGGGTGCGTGAGGGAACCAGACCCCGAAGGGAGGGGGCTGTAGCCATTTCCACAGCGGTTGTATGTGTGGGTTTCACCCAGTTCATTTATTCCGGTTACAGAGGTCTATGTAAAAATTTCAAAGGCACATCACACACGAGCATCTGTGTATTATGGTTAAGAGAGATCTGGGGAAGGTGGTTTCAATGAATGTAATAATTACCTTAGATTTTTTTTTGCCTTAATGGGATTAATTTATTAGAATATGTATGCATCCGCTCTTCAGAAGAGGAAGGAAAGCTAGCAACAAAAACATAGCCATTATCCAACTTGCCACAGATAATATTTGCAGTTATGATGCCTTGGAATGTTGCCACAGTGTGGATTACACTGATGAAAAGGTGTCACTGGGAAGCAGCACAGCCGTGCAGCAGCAAGTGCTGCTTTGGTGGTGTAAATGCTCACGTTTATTTTGAGCCAGGAAGCACTGATCCCCTAACAATGCCCTATTACAGTTGCTGTATTGCAGGAGGGGCTGATGCAGGCTTAATCATCTCGCTAATGGATGTGGGTGTAGACTGGATGCTCTGCCCTGCATACCGCCTGCATCCTGATGAGCCTCGGGAGCTGGCAGGGCCATTGCACGGTGGGGCTGCAGCCACAGTTCCGTTGCCCTGACGCTCAAAAGCCACGTCTGGCCGAAATAAAACAGATTACATGCTACTTTCCGTCTCCCTTCAGAAAACACCAACTCCGGGAGACAAATCAGATCTTTTAACACAATCTCATTAAGGCCCCTTGCTAACAAGAATGCAGAGCTTACACGGCTTACCAAGATGATGGATTAGCACACACACTCCGCACATCGACTCACCAGCTCCTGCTTTAAAACAACAAGGCCTCCGTCTTCTTTATGGACGGCCGCCTGCATTCCCATCTCTTTGCTTTTTAGAAGTAAACTAAATTCAGCCGCTAGCCTGTTAGTGCAGCATTTATTTTATTTTATTTTTAGAAAAAAGCCTTTTCCCATTGAGTCTCTTACATGCCTTCAAAGGTCGGAATTTATTGTCTGTGATACTGAAACCATGTGCACAAAACTGTCTTCTTTCATGATCCGTGTAGCAGATGTTTCTAAAGTGCACTCTCTCTTTTCTGCACCGGGTGAGGTGCTGGGGAACTGATCTGCAGCAATTGTTTGGCTGTGTTTCACTGCTAAGGGTGGTGGTCTACGCTCTTATGTAGAAAAATGCAAAATGCAACGAGCCTCGTTTCTGTGGCTGGCGTTTCTTTTGTTGTTGTTGTTACGTTTTGCTTTTTAAATGAAATGTATGAACTGCTGCATTTGGAACTTACTGTAACAAACACAAGGTAATGTTCCCATCACCGCCCTCCCCATCTGAGAAACGGCCACTACAATGCATGTCGTTCCCGTCTGGCCTCATGTTCTCTCTCATCTCAAAGATCTCTGCAGCCTGCAATTGTGTGTGCTCATTCCTACCCCAGTGTATGTCAACATGTTGGGGTCTGAGTATTTTGAGAGATGTTTCAGAATGTTGTTGTTTTCATGATCTCTCCTTTGTGCATTTAAGCTGTATTTCCTATTCTGATGTGGAACTCATTTACAGAGTCGGAGCAGGAAAGGACTCTTGGTCGTCATGCACTTTGGTTATCTGACGTGTGATAAATCCATGGTTTTACGGTTGACTTTACTTTTCCCAGAGGGAAGGAAACATATTTCTGCAGTGTCCAGACTGAAAGAGCCGTTCACAGCGAGTTTTCACGTGTTCTGTGTTGGTCTGATGAAACCTGTCCTGCTGGGGTATAAACTTTCATGTGAGCTGTCTCCATAGAACGTTCAATAAATTCTGTGCACTGAATATATTTAAAGGATGCTTCTGTGTAAAATTACTTTGAATGGATGGCTTGAGAGTGTTTGGTGCATTGTGGAGAATGTACCAAGAACCATTGCTCTGCACCCTGTTCTGCTTAGTGGGAGGAAATTGGATTAAATGAAAATCTGCGTCTTCCAGCCAGGAACCAGATTTAAAGATGAGTTAGGTCAACGTCCTCATTTTGCTACTGAGGAACTTTCATCCGGGAGCAGAGGGGTTGGGAGGTGGGGCCCTCTGCATTCTCAGGGTTTCCTGTTGCCGAGGCCAGCGTCACTGGTCTGCGGCGTGCCTGTACCAGTGTAGATGAGCTGGCCTGTCTTTTAAGTCCTGATACACAGTTCCTTGGCTCACAGTGTCATGGAAGAGCTTTCACCAAGACAGTCTCAGCCTCTTGGAAAAGTAGCACAGGCAAAAGCTAAGCCATCACACCGCACCTGAGGATGCCTAGCCAAGGCAGTTCACTCCTTCCTCTGGAGACAGTATGAATTTTTTCACCTGCCCTGCCATGTAGCTGGCCTCTTGGAAATGTATCTTGGAGGCCATTTTGTGTCAGTGCACACAGCGATGCTGTCATTACTCAGTACTTTGCCTCGGTCTAAGGCACCCAGAGCTCAGCCAGCTGAGGTGTCTTGAAGCAGTTTCTGCCCTTATCACCACACACATATGTGCAAATGAGCCCTGATATCATGGGGTCAGCCCCTAGCAGGTAAAAATGGACAAGGGAAGTCTGCATTTTGAAGTTGGGCCCCACTGCTTCCAGGAAGGCACTGCTGCTGTCTCCGGCTGTCAGAACCAGCAGTGGCTGGTTCTCACCAATCAGGCACATACGCTGCCGTCAAGACACACACGTGCGTGCAGATGAGGACACAGGTTCACACAGTCGTGCATACGACTCACTGTACACATGTGTTTGGGTTTCTTTTGCCTGCGTTAGCCTGGGTTCCCTACATGCAAGCGCATGAAGACTAGCCGTGAAGCCAGGTTGAGGGTAGGGGAACAGACACTGTCTATACAAGCAGTTTGTGACTGCAGAAAGAGGTGTTCATTATTCTCACAGGAAGACTGCAGCCCAGGGCATAGGAGTGAGTGAGAGTGTGAACTGCAGAAAGAGGTGTTCATTATTCTCACAGGAAGACTGCAGCCCAGGGCATAGGAGTGAGTGAGAGAGTGAGTGTGAGTGAGTGTGTGTGTCTGTGTGTGTGTGTGTGTGTGTGTGTGTGTGTGTGTGTGTGTGTGTATCTGCCTGTACCTACAACTTGGTGACTGCATCAGTCCAAACCTGTGTGTGTTCCTGTGTCATTTCGGGTCTTTTTCCCCACAGTGTTCGGTAAGATTGGAAACTGACCCCTGGTGGGGTCCTGACAGGATAGGAGCTGGGGAGAACAGCTATCCTGCATGAGCCACCACCCCGACTCTCAGGATCTTTTGTTGGTGCTGTAGATGAAGCTGCTGCCCTCAGACTCACTGGGCACTGCCTCTAATGGGAGTGAGGTGCCATCAGACACAGAAAACACAGAATTGCACTTACCATCCAGGCTTTCTTTTTTCAAGTAGAACTTCTCTTTCTGTTTTTCTCAGCGATGTTTGACCACTAAAATCACTTCAAAGAAGAAAAGACAGAGGAAACATTTGGAGAAACATAAAGTCCGTGTTACGGGCTTTTGAAAAATGGCCCTTTCTACTGCTTCAAAACCTTACAAATGTGCAGGAAGCTTTTCACAGCCAAGCCCCACTGTCTTCACCCCTCCCTGACGTCAGGTGGCTGCTCCTAAGGGTGGCTCCTGACCACAGGAAATATTTTCCAATAGTAATGATAAAACCATCCACCAATATGGAGCCAGTCAACCTGTGAGGAAGGGCTGGTGGCCAGGGCCAGGTCCCTGTCCCTGTCCTTGGCTCTGTCCTTGGCCCATTTTCCCATAAACTCAGGGTGGAGGCTGAGTCCATTTTTCAGGACTCCTCTGCAAACCATGAGTCTATAGTCTGGCTTCCTCCAGAGCACTCGAAATCCCAGAGTCTACCCTTTACACACCTTCAGAAGCCACTGGAACAACATGCACCATGTGTAAGGGTAGACAGGTGGGCATAAAATTGGTTTGGTTTGGTTTCATGCCAAGGCCTTTTGTGTACATAATACAAAAAACTCAAGTTGCCTGATGACCTCACAGTGAAAATGAACAGCCAGTGTCACCCTGGGCTTCCGTGGCCCTCAGGTAGCACTTGCTTCTGGTGTTCCCTCTTTCCAATTCCAAATGACATGCTTGTGAGCATGGCTTTTGAGCCCAGATCTTATCGACCGATTTCCCCCTAGGAAAGATGAGGAGTGAAGGAAGACTCTCAAGCCTGTCCCAAGCACAGTTTTCCTTCCCTTTCACAGAACGAGGTCACAGAGTTGTGCTGTCTGTCCTGTCCCATGACTGAGTGTTGGCAGTTGACAGTACTCTTGACAACCATAACCATCACCATGGTTTTCACTGGAGTCTTTCTGGTTGAGCTTTCACTGTATGATGAGCTCGGCACAAAACCCTGACAGGTAAGTCTCCGCCCTCCAACACATTGATAATTTCCACAGATGTCTTCAGAGGTCCTCGCCCCTCCCCCCTCTCTGTGCTGAGGGTCACACAAGCACTCAATTTGCTGTCCCTGTTAGATCTCCTCTGATCTCTTTTTTTAAGTCTTCATTTCCTCTTTTGGTGGATTTATTTATTTATTTCCTTAGGATATTTCTTTCTTTTTCTTTTTTTAAATCCCTTTATTCTAATGAACTCACAAATGAAAACAGAGGCCAGCAGGGTTAAAGACCCTTCGCATACCTCAGCCCCAACCTCGGGACTTCTCCAGAAACATTTTTACAGTTCAGATGGCCATTCTGAAATCGCAGCTTTCTTAGACAACGCACACATGAATAAATTGAAACTAGAAAAATTAGTCTTATATCCTGTGTCACGACTCGTGTGTTCTTTTGCCTGCGTTCCATCTGTCCTCACCTATTGTTACTCCCTTGGTCTCTTCTCATGCTCCTGTTTGCATATATCCATGTATACAGTTTAGGTTAGGATTTGCATATGAGGGAGAACATTGCATTTCTTTTCTTTCACCTTGCTTAATATGCTTTTCAGGTGCATCCATTTTCCTGCAGATTTCACAGTTTCATTTTTTGTTACAGCTGAGTATTGTATATGGACATCATGTTTTTCTTATCCATTCATCTGCTAATGGACATCTAAGTTGATTCCATTTCTTTGATATAGCAAATAGAGCAGCAAACACATGGCTGTGCAGATACCCCCATGGTAGGCTATGGAGTTCTTTGTGTAAATGCCAAGGAGTGGGATGGCTAGATCTTCCTTATTTTACTTCTTTTTGAATAAGCACATCCCTTAGCAGGTCTCTGAGAAAGGCATATGCAGAACATAACTTTTCTGAGAAAAGCAACCTGAAACTGCCCTATTCCCCCCCCACCACCACTTGATTAGATAGTTGTACTGGGTATAAAAGACATTCTGAAAGTGCCTGTGAGGACTCTGAAAACACCATTTCATTTCCAGTGGTCCCCTTAAAATTCACTGTCACCCCAAATTCTGGTGTTTATTTCTGGGGTATTTTTCAACTTTAATTTCCAATGTTTTCACTTTTCTTTTTTTGAGACAAGTCTTACTCACTATGCAGCCCTGGTTGACTAGGAACTCTTTATATACACCAAGCTGGTTTCAAACTCACAGAAATCCACCTGCCTCTGTGTCTCCATATTATAATTTTCAAGATTTCTTTCTTTCTTATTTGTGTGTGGCACCTGTTTCCTGAATACACACATGTGTGTATATGCACCATTAGCTATATGCAGATACATTTGGGTTTATAGTGTATTGTGGTATTTGGATGATCTCCAGCTCACTATGAGCCTAAGGTTGGCCTTGAACTCCTGCCTCATCACTGTACTTAGCAGATGTAGTTTTTTTCTCCCACTAGAGACATAATAGTTCTTTGTTACTTTTTTTTTCCTGCTAGAGGAGCTGGGAAAAGGTAGGGTTTAGTCTGCTTTCTGTGGTGCTAAGGATCAAACTTTTTTTTTTTTTTTTGTGGCCTAACAGAGATGTGCAGTATTTAAAAGGTTAACCTCACATCTGCCACCTGGCAGCTCTTGGCCCTGCCTCTGTGGAAGCCAAGGACAGCAGGAGGCTTGCATTCACCATTTAACACGCAGGGTTTTATTCACAGCCCATATTTTTTTCCAGCATGATACTCTGCTCCTGGCTGTCAGTGAATCCAAAAATCCCTGGGCTGAACTTTCAGTTCTTTTCTGGGTCAGGGAGTGGCTTGAGTGGTTACAGCCCCTTTTACAAACTCACAAGCACTGCGGGAGATGCCCTGTGTCCAGCCCTTCTGCGCTGTTGTCTTCTGAGCTGACCAGATGGCCTGTTCTCGAAGCCCAGACCTGTGGCACACGAGCTTGCTTCTGAGCCTCACCCTGACCACCTAGTGTGGCGATAAGAGATTGAAGTGAAAATGTCCTACTCTCAGGCCTACTGTCTACCACAGGCTCTGTCTTACTCCCACCTTGCTGGCCACATTCTCCTCTCCTTTTCTAGTTAGCCATGAGACTCTGTCCCTTTTAATTATTTCCCCATAATTTATCAGAATTTCTGAAAGAAGTGGAGGGAAAGGAACATAGCTGTGACTCTCTTCAGCTCAGAGTCGGAGAGCCAGCCCTTCCTCCTCAGGCACTTGACATTTCTTTACAAAAGCAGCATAATTAGTTTTAACAGATGAGGCAACCACCTCCGCTTGTTACCTTTTTTCTTCATCTAAGACATTAAAGAGACACCGCATATATAGGACTAAGAGGTATCCGTTACTAAATGCCGCTAGGAAGAGCAGCAACACTGGGAGGAGACCCTCCTCAATGAGTCTGTGCATAGTGGCTGCTCTCCAGGGCATAAGCTCAGGGTAGATGGCCCAGAGTCCTCCACCAGTCACCACCATTGAGAAGCGGTAGGGTGGGGTTTCAGGGCGGGGGCTGGAGGTGTGGCTTATGACTCCTCCTTGGCGCTCAGGGCCTTTCTCTCAGTACCCTTGGTTTCTGTAGTATGAGAAGAAGTTTGATGTGTCTGGGACAGTGCCAGGCCCTGTGACCTGTTCAGAGGCAGAAGTTATTCTTGATGCCATAGAAACAACGGAGAAAGCATAGTGTCCTGCAGCTCCCATGTCTGGGGTTTGGCTCTGCCCATCTTACTAGGAAAAGCAGTGGCATGTGTGGCTTGAAGGCAGCATGGGGGGGGGGGGGCGGGGGT